TTAATCTTACAAAGGTATCTTATATGGTGAGTAGTGGTTAAGTGTGCGGACTCTAATCTGGGAGAACCGGGTTTGATTCCCCACTCCTCCACTTGCACCTGCTGATGTGACCTTGGGTCAGTCACGAGCTCTGGCACAGCTGTCCTTGAAAAAGAGCAGTTTGTGTCAGAGTTCTCTCAGCCCCACCCACCTCACAGGGTGTCTGTTGTGGGGAGGGGAAGGGAAAGGAGTTTGTAAGCCGCTCTGAGACTCCAAGTGAAGGGCGGGGTATAAATCCAATCTCTTCTTCTTCATTAACTATACTGTACTTAGCTTTCTCTAGGTATTTTGCCTCAGACTGACTCACCCCTTTTTGAGGAGGGATTCCTCCTTCTGCAGCAGCTTCACACTAGCTCTGCTCCCTGGGAGTGAACCACCTCCCACTTTGGGCAAGGCCTTTTATATCTTTTCCCCAGGCACCTCTACTCCTCTACTGGTGTTTTTGCCTCAGTCTGACTCACCCCTTTTGGGGGAGGGATTCCTCCTCCTAGCTCTGCTCCCTGGGAGTGAACCACCTCCCACTTTGGGCAAGGCCTTTTATATCTTTTCCCCAGGCACCTCTACTCCTCTACTGGTGTAAGTTTTCCTTCCAAATCCCTGTTAATCACAGGGTCCAGAGGGGACCTGGGAAATGTAGGCCCTGATAGCTACTCTAGTACAGGCTTCGCTGGAGCCACTAGGCCTCCCTAGATCCTGTAGGCCGCATTAATATAGGCCTAGGATCATGACGCCCCTAAAGTTCCATTTTGTTTCCCTCTCTTCTGCCTCTAGATTGGCAGCTGGGGAGGAAGGGGAGAGACTGTCAGGTTCAACAGCATGCAAATCTCCACACGCGTTTCCAGGGAATCGTTATGCTTTATTAGACTACCGGTCCGTTGTCATGATCTACAGGTATATTGTTAGGAATGACAATGGGGCGGATGCATCACTACATATAACATGGTGCTGCAATTGGCTAAGCAAATGAAATCCAAGCGCGCGCGGGGGAATTCTCCCGGCGGGAGGTCACATAATGAACGGGAGACTCTCCATGCCTCATGAAAGCAGAAATATTCACACCAACAGTAGAACGCAAGCGCTCCCTCCTCCTCAAGGTTAGTCAGATAACCCAGTCTGGCAGCGCCAGTTTGCATGGTCTCATGAGCGCCTCCCTATCGCTGTTTACAACAAGCGAGCAAAGCAAGCGAACAAGCATGCTCAGGAAAGGACAAATATAATTGAAACATGGCAGCTAGCTGACAGAGACGGGGTCTCTCAGCGGTCTGGTTTTCCTGTCAGGGCTTCCACTTTCTGTCCCCTGCTATGAATAAACGGAGCTCCCAATGTGTATGAGGTGGACCTCATAGTGGGTGTGGGGAATCTGCCCTTCTGAAACCTTCGGCTTCTGCTTTCAACCTGTGAAAAAGAAAGTCAGTTTCGGCATCATTGCTTGCAAGGGAAAATGATGGAAAATTTGCGGGCGGTTGCTTTTTAGGCTAACCAGAAAAGAGGTAGCTCAAGGCATCTGAAGAAGTGAGCAGTGACTCACGGAAGCTCCTATCCTGCCACGAATTTTGTTAGTCTTTAAGGTGCTACTGGACTCTTGGTCTTTTCTCCTGCTACAGAAAGGAGGCGTTAGTGTGTTGAAGCCGCCATGTCGAGTTTCGCTACTCCCCGCCGTATTAGCTAGACCTAATGGCATGGATCCACTGAAGTGTTTCTGCAAACGGGAGGCTTTTCATCTGCAGAGAATGACTTTTTTTGTCCCCCCAGCCTGCTGCAGCTCCCCCCCCCCCGGAAATACTGTTCCAGTCCCCCAAGAGCAGCAAGAGCAGAATTTTGGAGGGGGGGGGGTTATTTTGGGCTGCAGGAGAAGGGGGAGAGGTGAGGAAGTTGTACTCCACAGATGGAAAGCCTTCTGTCTGTGGAAATACTTCAGCGGATCTGAGCCAATACATTTCTCCCCATTGCCCAGCAGAAAGTCAGCCTTAGGAATATTTTCAGTAAACACAGATAGCTAGAGATGTGCCATTGTATGTTTTCGTTGCAAAACCTTCCTTGGTTTTTGCTACATTGGTCTGTTGTATTTGGTTTCGATTCCATTAAGTGCAGAAAAGGGCAACTCGAATGATAAAAGGGCTGGAACACTTTCCCTATGGGGAAAGGTTAAAGCGCTTAGGGGTCTTTAGCTTGGAGAAACGACGACTGAGGGGTGACATGATCGAGGTTTCTAAGATTATGCATGGGATAGA